TTGTTATTTTTATAAACAATTATACAAGACTAATTCAACATTTACTTTGAATTTACTTCTTGCATTGTACAGAATAATACCATTCGCATCGATTGTTTGTCTCGCAAAATGCTGTTTCTGGTGGACACAGTGAGGATGTTTTCGATCGATCTGAACAGTTGTGAAATACCTGCAAAGAAAAATAAATATCATCAAACATAAAAATATATACATAAATAGTTGTTATTTTGTAATTAAATAAGTAGGATTATTTCGGTATTAAAATATAAAATATTTTTAAAATCAATTTTTTGTGCTGAGACAACTTTATTCCAGATTAAAATTTATTATATATTTATAAATTTTGTTTACGTTTGTTAGCATATTCATTTACAACATTATTTTTGTCATAATTTTGTCTCATTTACTCTTAACTTTTTTATTATCACAAGGTGATATAAGGTTACTAATTATTATATTTGCTACCTTAAAACTACTATAATTTGTTTACAAAACAATTTTATCAAACAATTAGCAAGTTGTAATTTGTTTACATGATTGCACTGAATCTTTCTTGCCTGTGCAATTCGTATGACATACATTTGGTCGTCCTAAATTTTCGTATCGTGCGAGAACATCGATGCAGTAACGCGAAACGAGAATCGCAAGATTTCGTAATGTGTATGCCGCAATTCTGTCAGCCGTTTCGTTAAACGAGTAACATAACAGACGACGTTGATCTAGATCACTCTAGATCGACCGTAGAGATCCAGATAGATGAATCCGTACACTTCACCCATCGCGAAAGTTTCGAAATCACTCGTCGGATCAGAAATTATATCGTGACGCGATACGATTAATAATACGCTATTGCTCCATGACCTCGCGTATTGAATGGTTTGTAAAATAAGATGATTTATATAATGATTTATTCGTGAAACGTGATGCTTCAATAAAATTTGCAAGAGGGAATGAAGAGCATATGTTAATTACAGTAAAGATGCATCGACATTATAAAAGAACTTAAAACTTTAAAGATTTCTTTCTTTTTTTATACATGTTTAGTTTTTGAATTTTAATCTTGTCATAAATATACATAAATGACAAATCATAATTTCACTGTAATTATAAGTCACAATATTTTTTAAATCTATTTATCTATTTATATCTCTAATTTGGTTGAGTGTGCTAATTTCTAATTTAAGCACTTTCCAATTTTGTTTCCGTCACTTTTACAGGAATATTAATAATTAATATTAAATTAAAAATAGATAACTTTTTTACTTGACACTTGGTTTCGACGTCCGCGAACATTCCCTTCCTTCCATGGCAAGAAAAATTGGTTTTTGGTATATTCGTGAGACTTGTATAGGCAGAATCGTGAGAATTAGCGGCGTTTGATTTGATTTTCTGATAAGGCGTTGATGATAGTTTCGATTCTTGATTCTTTCGACTTTGACGATGCTGTTGATTCTTGTCGCCACTTTTCGAACTCACATGTCTCAAGGATCGTTCATGGAATTCATTGAGAAATTCTTGATAATCCGTAATAATCTAACAAACAATATTAATTCAGTTAATTTAACTACATGTAACAATTGCTCACATTGGATAAAGAAATTGTACAAATTTCTTATATAAGAAGATAAAAATATTATACACTGTAATACACATTTTCATCTAATTTGTGTGTGTATATTATTTTTTTGTGAATTGCATAATAAATGCATGACCGATAACGTGATTTAAAGAAAATGTCATAATTAAAAAGGACTAACAAAAACTATGATATTAGTAATTGAGAATTAATACACTAAAAAAATAATCCGGTTGCATAAAGTAAATTTAACCAATATGACTATTGAAAAATAAACAAATCAAAATTCTTCTAGAAATTATCAGATGAGCATGATTAAACATACCAGAATTCCCTAATAAAATAATATTAAGTTTATTTTATTTTTATTAGGTCAATGTATAACTTTTTAGTGAAAAGAACGTTTAATAAATGTTAATTAATTAGAAGTTTTTTATAGATCCAACTAGAAAATACTAAATATATGAACCTTATAGTTAAGTCATGATATAAGAATTAATATTATAAGGTGACTTCTCTTTGAGTCAATCAAAAATTTGCTATTAAGAAGCAACTTGGATTGGACATGATTGTTCTGAGGCAAACATTTTATTGATTGCTCTTTTGTATTTTTCTATTATTTTGCTACCATTATGATACATCTTATGTACGTAGTTAAATCTATTAAACACTCTAATTATAAAATATCTTGTCCAATCATAATAAGAAAATGTCTCTCGAAATGTATTCTATTATACATGTTTCGTTGGTATAATCATTAAATTATTTTTTAGTATAGTATAGTAAATAATTGTATAAAAGTGTAGTACAATTTCGCAGAATATTTAAAGATAGCTTTTTATATTAATAAATACGCATATTTACACAATATTTTTGTGTTAATTTAATTAAATTTGTTTAATATCTGTTTGTGGATAAAAATTTGTACGTACAATTTGTATTTTGATTTACTATTCAACAAGCTTTACTAGAATCGAAACAAAGTATAATAATAAACTTATATAATATAATAAATAATAAACTTATATAGTATAATAAACTTATACACATTCTGCAGATATGACTTTATGTTTCTCTTTTTGATTTTTATTGATATTTATTTGCATTAGAAGATAATGCATTATATTGAATTTTATTTGAATCATCGAGAACCAAATAATGCAGAAAAATTGTAATGTATATAAATCAATAAATGTAAATGTAATTTACGGTACTTTTTTATATACATATATACTTGGCGTAAATTAAAAAAAAAAGATTAGTATCTCGATAACTATTGCGAAGATTGCAAAATGGTAGAAGACTTTTCGATTCAGTTTAGCCGATTCTACCTGCCCACGAGCTTTACCATTTAATACCGGACACCCTGTATAATAACGATGACTACAATTTGACTGGGATAATATTGTAAATTGTACTTTTTATAAAATATTACATACATGTCTAAATGTTTTAATGTTCTAATTTTTGTTTTAATTTTCTAAAATAAAATACTTTTGAAGAGAACGTTGAAATTTCGCAAGCCTACGACAGCTTACATAGATTTTATTTGAATAAATGACACAGTAGAAGACAAAGTATATGTATGTACCAAGACATTACCTGATGCGAATCGAAGAGCGCAAGATTGTTGACAAAGTAATCGTCAAACGGTTCATACACGGTGTCCCACTCGTGTCCCGTCCCCCAGCTGGATAAATCAAATAGCTCTCCATCAGCCGGAAATACGAAAGGCGCTACAACTGGTTTGTAAACACCCGGTTTGACGGGTGGTACGATCGGCACAAATTGTTTATAACTCGAGTAGACCTGCGGCTTCGGATAGCTTCGAAGTTTGACGTTTTCGAAATTGTTCCGTGTTTTATGAATCGTGTGCATAAATGGCCTTCGTATAATGTAAGTTGTGTCGACGGTTTTCGGATAATTATAGTGAGGTCGACCCTCTGGCGGTACGTATCGACCGTCCGATGTTAGATAAACCTTGATTAGATGGGAATCAATGAATTATTAACTATAAAGTATACGCAAAAATCATACAAAAAATGAAACAATAATAAAGTAATCGAAAGTGTAATAATCATGGGCGTACGCAAGGAGAGGCAGGGATGGCGCTTGTCTTTCTCCCTAAATTTTGTCAAGAAGAAACAATTAAATTATGAAAATCATTTTTTTTATCAAAGAAAGAAGCTGGGAGAAGAAATATTAAAGAAAGTTCGTTCACGATTTAATATAAGTACAGTATTTTAATAAATTTTGTGTAAAAATAAGGTTTTATCTCCCCTCTGACCGAAATCCTGTTCCATACGCCTATAATAATAATTACTTTCAAAGTATTTATATGTTAAGATAAATAATTATTCCATCTGTAGTATGACATATACGCAAACATGCCTTTATTATTTCCGGCATTCTCTGATCAGGATGAGGATGCTTGTGGATGTGCCGAGCATCCAGGACCACGCCGTCCGGTACAGAAATACCTTCCTTGTTCAATCGATTCAGCGCCAAGCGATCTGTTTTAAAAGCCTCCTCTGGAATCTTGCCACCCAACGCTGGTAGCACTTGCTCTCGAAAAATCTGCCGTTTTCGCTGCAATGGCAATCTTTCGCGATTAAGCGTGGTATTTTGCGCGGTCAGTTGTTATGTATTTCCGCACGATGACACAATCTATAGGTATCGCGAATTAAATAAAATTCTATTTCCAATATATTATTATTTATCTTGTTATAATCGATTATATTATTGCATATTGCATCTTAGGAAATGCTAATTATCTAAATCCAGAGTAGGTATTGCCAATTATTTAATATCCTACACGTAAAGAGACAGCGTACACAGGCTGTCTTGGCATGTTGGCATGCGCGCGTTCTTTGAGACATAGTCGTCATTAATAATCTTTCTGTTACACTTTCACCTATTACACGCAGTTACATCTTCGAGTCATCATCTTCGATGAATAGATATCGATCTGACAAAACTGTGACTAGCGAATTGTCGTCCTCATAACAAGTTAATTGTATAAATTTATTATGATATGTTACGTTTGTTTTCATTGTTTTGATCAACAGTTAAAGCACTTTATATATAATAATCTATAATCTTATAATTTGTTAATTGATGTTCACTGGAGCAGACTCTAAGTACGTGAAGAAACTGTATTACTAGAGTTTATAATTATAAATGTATCTTCGAGATCAACATGTCTGTTAATTCATGTCACAATGCTTAACAGACAGCATTGTGACATGAATCGCGATATTAGAAACATAATTTCAATTCAATCTATCGCACATTTTTGCCTGTCGCGTGAGGAAAAGATTCTGGAAAAGATCGCTTACGATTCTCGATTACTTAACCTTTTCTGCATTAATATGCCCCCACAAAATCGCGGTTGCCAACAGCAATCGACACCAATATCCTTGTCTATTTATTTGCATAGTGATCTTGTTCATACGTCTCGTCTGCCGTCCGCAGTTATATCGTTGAGCGCATCCTTTCAACGGATTTTTGCTTCGATCTGAAACACAAAGAGCGCTTTTCCTTAGAAAAATTTAATGGAAAAGAGTAATAATTTGCAATATCAAATTGGCTAGTATTTTTTAAATTGGATTTGTGTAAGAATAAAAAATGTAATTCCTTAATTTGTTGTATAATTATTAGTCATTCCGATCTTTTTTTGTCTTTTATGTTCAAAATTTTTTTGATATTATTATTATTTTACTAATTTCGTGTATGCTGCTTTAATTTGTTTAAAAACTGATTCGATATAAGTAAGAAATTTTATAGAGAAAGATATATATATTATGTATATGTATATGTACATTCCCGGTCAAAAGTTTAAAAAGATTAATTATAAAGATGTGTACTATATAAAATAAGATAAAAAGTTATGCATTGTATAATAATTTAACATATTTTTATTATTTTATTCATAATTGTTTTGTAATAAAGTGAAAAATAATATAAAATATTTGAAACTTTAATAAGAAATATTTTTTACAAACAACTAACATGTGAAAAATGTCAATGATTATTTTTGTATTTGATATTTTTATTTTTATGTGAATTTTACAATTAACTGCGCGTCGAATAATCGTCGAAAAAAACAATTCTAAACTGAATAGGTTCGTAATATCAATTAAATTGAGAAAACAATTTAATAATTTGACACTATAAGGATTATCTTTTAAATCCTGTAAAATAATTAATTCATTGCGAAAAATATTACTTCAGAATTTGAACCTGAACCTGCTCTCCAGGTAGATGTATCACATATAAAAATATTAAGCATTATTATTATTATTATCCATTTTAATCGTATTGGCATTTTTTTTAGTTGTTTAAATATTCCACGTTGATTCATATTAATAATATCTTACAAATTCTTTTACAAAGAAAGCATTAAGAAATATTAAAATTTTCCGTCAAGATAGTCACCATTATATTATTTAATCATTGTTTATACCTAATGTAGATAATTCAACTACATGTTTATTTATTTTTCTTTAACGGATGATTTTTTTAGAAAAAAACTTTCTAATCATAATCCATTCTCTTAAAATTAAGTAATTCTACGTTAATTGGAAAAGTATGTTGAATATAATGTCCAATATAATATAATTTCCTTTCAAATTAAGAAAAAAGAGTTAAATAAGGCACATGAATTAAATTTTTAAGTAGCATTTCTCGAATATTTATAAATTTTATGTTATCTAAAACTTTTAGCTGGCAGTATTATTTGCGAAAAAGTCCCGAGATTATCAATTTCATGGGATTATCGTACGTGTATATTTTGACGCGTATCTGTACGCGGCACGTCTTTCACGATCGAGTGAAAACATACATACGTGATCAACTTGTGTGGATTGCGTAATGCGGATACGCGCGCGACTGGCATTCAAATTAGAGTGATGAGAGAACTCAATCAATGATATTTGTGCGAAGATCTTATGTATTGTCTTATGTATTTTTTTACATTAAATCAACGGTAAATATAAGTTTGCGCTTTGTCGTTATCGAAAACTTCATGATTCGTTTGTTTAAAAAAATCCATCCATCCTGCTTTCCTCACGCTATTACGAATAAATATATCCCCACGCATTTTACAAGATATGTAAATTACGTGAGATAATATGTTTGCGTAAACCTGCTCGCGACTGTATTGTGTACAACGTTATACTTACAGCACAATTCCCATATTCGTAACATTTTCTCAAGTTTACGTAAATTTAATTAAGCGTGTTCAAGAATTTCTTCTCCTTTATACTTTCTGAATTAAACCGATAAAATCAAAATTTTTGCAGTTTTATCAAAACAAAACATTGTTTATAACGACGTGGGATCGCGCGGTCAGTGATCACTGATAATACGAATAATTGGATGTATTTTGAACCTAAAAAATTGATATTGTACTTGGGAGATTTCGTTTGCCTACAAAACGATTACCTACAGCTTCGTTTGCACACAACCAAGAGCAATTAAAAAATATTTTATATTGTTAATTCATTTTTAATAACAAATCAAATACCAAGTTTGAAAATCTGCGGTTTTTACAAAACCGATTTATCTGACCGCCCTTGAGTACACAGCAGATTATTCGAACATTCTATTTAGAAATCAGCATATCCGCTACCTACATACCATTGGCACAATCGCTCACCGCTATCTCTTAGCCTTGTTCTAATTACGTCGCTGAGATGTAAGTTGCCGCAATCTTCTTCATCTCAACTCGCCGCTTGTAACGGAGAGTAGATATATATGAGATGCACGGAAGAAATTAATAGGCTACTTTACTATCTACTTTACTACTGATACTTTCTACCAATTTTTTATTGTATAAAGTTTAAAGTTCTTCAAAAATGTCTAAACAATATGATTCTTTGTTAAATATTTAACAAAATTAGATATGTACATTTAAATTTTATTATACTATATATGTATATTTCTTTTGTCTTCTTTATTATACAGGGTGTCTCGTACTCAATGGTACAGCGCTTGTGGGCAGGTAGTGTGGACCAAACTGAACAAAAAAGTTCTCTACCATTTTGCGATCTTTGCAAGTTATCGAGATACTAATCATTTAAAAAAA